GAATGGGTTATATCATTATACCAGTGGAAATATTGCAAGAATTGGTGTTGTTTTGCTGAAAATGGCATATAAAGAACTTGCACAATCAACCCATAACTTAATGAAGCTATAATGAATTATGCAGCATCTTGTAGAATGCCTTGTGAAATATTTTGTGTAGCACTTTGTGCAATTACTTGTGCAATAGTTTATGCCATGCCTTGTGAAACACCTTGTTCAGTGTCTTATGCAAAACTTTACACAGTTACTAGCAGAAGCAGAATCAACCCTTTGGATCTGATACTTGCACAGGCTTTGTGCTAGTAGAATGTTAGCACTGGATACAGCCCACTATTTTTTCAAATTAAGAAAACTTTCTGTCAAAAAGTATCTTCAAAATAAGGTGGAAAGGCATTGTGTTCTGTGTTTAAAAGTTTATATTTTCCTTTCCTATCAGAAAATTTTAATCACTGAGGGTTTATTCTAAATCCAAATGAAAAATCTAATTACATGTTAGAGCCAAGGATATAACATTCTAAGGCAACTTTAGTCCTTTGTAGTGAAACAACATATTACCTCTGTCTGTTGTTTGCAAACTGCATTTTAGTTCACCTACTTTCCTGATCCACAGCTTTGTGTAAACAAGCCATAGAGGCAAACTGTGTGGTTTAAAATATAGTTGAATTTTTAAACCCTTCCTTCTTTTCTTGCCAGTGGCCATGAAATTTTAGTCCATCCTCCCTGCAAAAAGTGCAAATTACATCTGAAATATGTGCAGCTGTGTATCCTTCTGAAGAACAGGTTTCAGTTACTGTGCTTGGACCAGTCTCTGTCCCCCATCATACATTCTCAGCGTAAGCAAAGAACTGTTACAATGGCCTGTGCAAGAACCAGAAGAGAAAAACAAAAGAGGAAAAATAAGAGACCTCATCCAGAAAATCCAGGAAATCAAAGGGTTCTGTATTCGGAATATATCATAAGGAAAGCTGGATTAGGATCAGAAGAAGGAGTGAAAATTGGCAATACTTTAAGATATGCAGATGATACCATGTTACTGGCAGAAATGAGCAATTAATTAAAATGATGCCTGGTGAAAGTAAAATAAGAAAGTGTAAAAGCTGGACTGTAAATGAACTTAAACAAAAATCATGACTGCAGAAGAAGGCTCACGAAGAGCACATCACATCATTAGCCTCAGAGTATGTCAAAGGTGCATGTTGGAGTAAACATGGGGAGTAAAAGTTATAAATCTTGTGGTATTTAATGAAGTTTGAATATTAATCTGTGTCAGCCCCTAGCTTCCAGGATCTGATTTTTATTTCCTCAATTTAGAAATTTAGAAAAGAATTCTTATCAAGCTTTCTTTGTAATAAAATAGTGCATCTTACATTTTATCTCCTGCAGGTACTGAAATAACACTTGGGGCTGGCATGACAGAAAGAAAAAGAAAGAAAGAAGGAAAGGGAAGCCAAGGTGAGTTTTCCTGTCACTAAAAATTTGACACAGATAGCTCACTTATCTGACAAGAGCTCTCCAGAGACACAGTCATTTGCAATTAATCCTTTCCATTTCTGTGCATCAGAATAGATGACACAGCATCTTCACTCTCACGAAAAGGTCTGATATAAAGGAATTATACTTAGTACCACAGGAGGCTAAAAATAGATCTCTCAAAGGCTTATTTAATGGTTCTTGTAAAGTATAAGTTTCTAAGAAGAAAATAAAAAACAATCCCCAGGTTTTTGGTCAGTGATGTTATGGACTTGTTTCACAAGAATTATTGCATCTGATACTAAGATGTGATAAATTGCTCATTAACTTTTTTTACTCTAAGCTTGCTCTCTGAACATTTCAGAATGCAGCCAGAATTCCTCTCATATAACATGCCAGTGAAACTTTCAGAAATGCCAGAACTTTCTGCTTATATCAATTACTGAGACAGTACAATAATGTTAGGGATCAATCAAGTAGAGGTACTTTTTTTGTATATTTGGAGAGAAGGACAAGTAACTTATTTTCAGCATTTTTTCTCATCAGTTTGTGAAAAGAAGGTAATGCTCTTTACCATTGAAAGTTAAGGTAATTCCCCCTGAAGGCTGCTTTCTTGCTGTCAGGAATGCCAGCATATAGCAGACTCCAATTCCAGATCTACTGTTGTGGTATCATCCTGTTTATTAAGTGATCCCTGATCAGTTAAGGTGACTCATGTGCCTCTTCTGGAGAGGGGCATCCAAAGCAGAGACAAGGAAACTCAAAAACTAGCACTAGCTTTGGGGAAACAACAAAAAAGAACAGATGTGTACTCCAGGACAAGGGGGAAGGATATTCTTGCTGCAAGAACACTTGTTTGCCCCCAAACAAAGACACTGTTGACTATTCTATATGTTACGAAAATAGTCGCTGACTTGTTCATTTGCCTGAGAAGACTGATCCTCAATCCCTATCCTCTCAGGGGAGATACTAAGATACCAACGACTCGTGGTTTTTATTAAGAGGCTTTTATTAAAAACAAGCTGCAGCAAGGGTGAAGTCTTGGTTCATACCACACACACACACACACACCCCAAACCCAAAAAACTTCCACCCCATTCCACTGTTGTTCATGGTAAGTTGTCCTTTCTCTAAGGATGTACAGTTCTAAATAGCCAATCTGCAAGCTACACATTCTTCTGTTTACTTGCTTTACCTAATCATAATATGGGCTTGGCTTGTGCCTGATAAGACATTCCAGAGTGTAGACATGCTCCAGCTTCTACAATGGCTAACTGAATGTGTTTCTCTAGGCTGTAATTTTTACAATTTTTTTTTACACCAAACATACATCTTTGGTGCAACATACACAACCATAGACCATGTGCTAGTATAATTTCTGTGTGGATTGCTAAGAGAGCTTTATGATTTGTATGTCAGATTAATACTTGGGCCCTCAAAATAGGTGAAAATTAAAATTAGATGAGTATATGTCAAAGTTCGCAACAGGGGCACTAATAATTATCATTCAAAAATTTCAGATGGGCAGTTTCTTCTAGCTGGTTAACAAAGCAAATCAATACATGCCTACTCAGAAGCAAGCCTGCCTGAGTTCATTGTGATTTATTCCCAGGTAAGTGTGTAAAGGATTGTATCCTAACTGTGTCTAATTTGATCTGAATAGAGACATTTCTTTTTGGAAAAACTGTAGGGGACAATTTGCAAGAAGCTCATTTGCCAAGTCACCAGCCAGTAATTGGCCTTGTTTTTCTGCTTGATTCTGGTGCTTAGAAAATAGCTTAAAGCAATTTCCATTCAGATTTTTATCCCATGATAAATCTTTCTCCTTTTCTGTCTCTTTCTGGGTTTATGTATTTTAAAATAAAAAATTGGCTGCATATTGACTGGAAAAGCTATTTCCTCATGCTAATATTGCAGAAAAGGGGGCCATTCTAAGATGTTTGGAAGCATTCTGCTAACACGTTGCATTAATGTGTACATTTTTATATTAGAAAAATAAAACAGACTAGTTATAAAACTGAAAGCAACAATGTCATTTCTTTGGAAGTATGACATCATACTAATTCATAAGTACAATCATATAGTAACCATCTGAAATTACCACTGAGGAACCTCTTCTGAAAGCAGAGGACTCAAAATGGCAGTTGGTCCCAGACATGTTGAGGGAGTAAGCTTTGATGTCTGTCCTCACCTGCTCTTTCAGGCAGCAGATATGGAAGTTGCTAAATGGCAGTTAGTTCAAGTCAGGCTGGAAAATCCTGCCAAAATCCAAGCAGATACAACTCAAAGGAGAGCATGTATTCAGAAATATTTCTGAAACTCCCCACTTCTAGATTGGGCTTGAATTTGCACAGTAAAAATGCTTTCCTGGGATGGGGTTGGGTTATGGAGAAGTATCTACCTAATAGGTCTGTGAGAGCAGTGAATCTACATTTCATGCTGTGAGCATGCAGCACTAAAAAAACAGTTTCGAGCATGTTCTTTGCCCTACCCCTTATTGTGGTTTGGCTCAAAACTTGACCGTTCTGCAGTTTTCTCCATGCCACCTGCCTTAGGACTTGGCAGCATTTGCACAGGAAGAACCTCCTTAGTACACAATGGCCAATGCAGCAGGTAGCCTTGGTTTGATTAGACTAGAACTGCATGATCTTGGATAGGTTGAAAACCTTGAATAGCTCCAACAAAAGTCAGAGCACAACAAAGGCCTGATGCCTCAGGTAGTCTTCATCACTTTTAAGGAATGTCTCTGTTATGCAAGGGTACAGAACACCTATCAGCCCAAAGGCCAAATTCCATTTTGGAGAAGGTTTTGAGGCCAGCATTCCAGTGGCAGGCAGGGGATGAAGGCAAAAGGGGCAACGCCAAAAAGTCCAGCCTATTTTAGCATAAAGCTCATATGGTCAGCATGAAGCTTTAAGAAAGGCAGTTCAGCCTTATAGAATGTGGGGGAAGCTGTACAAATCTGGAAAATCAATGAACAAGCAGTGGTTGGGCAAAGGGGTAGGGCTAAAAAAAGAGGGCAAAGACATCTGGGGAACACCATTCGGCTGAATTTAGCTCCCTAGGACTGAGGTCTGCACCATTGCTCTAAAGAACCCATCCTCGCACTGGCCTCATCGTTAAACAGAATGAGGTGGTCATCATAGGCAACAGATGCTGGGAGATAGCAGCAAATTATTGGAGAGGGAAGCTGTGAGCCATGTGGCTTCACATTCTTAAGTTACTCTGCTACTTTCTTCTGTGGTGGAAATGTTGTGCCATTGCCAGTGTCGAAGACAGATGCAGCTGCCGCTCCAGTCAGCCTTTGTACATTGAATAGGATGGGGTGTCATTTTGGCTTTCATCTCAGGAAGAAAATGTCTTGAGCCAGCTCTGGTCACAGTCCAGGTGCAGTGCTTTCTCCTCTTCAGGGGAGGTCATGACAAAAAGCACTCATGGGATTTGGTTTCAGGCAACTTCCATGCCTCTTATGTGAGAGAAATCAGCCTGAGAATACAGAATTACAGCCATAAGGTCAGGGAAGTCACCCAATGAATGGCAGAAATTCCAGAAACAGGTACATTTGCTTCTCTTAAGGATAAAGAGCTTCTTGAAACAAGGCTTTTTTTTTTTTTTTTTTTGCTTTTCTTTCTTTTTTGAACACTTTTTTGAAGGAAATGAACACTGATTGACTAACAGTGTACACTGTAGACCATTTACTAAATGGTAGCAACATAGGAAGTTGTCACATACTGTGCGATCCACTGGTCCACGTATTTCAGTATTATCTATCCTGACTGGCTGCTCAGTGTGTCAGGCAGGAGTTGTTCCCAGCCAGGGTCAGAACCTGGGACACTGGAATACAGTCACTGCCAGCAACCTGCAAAGTCAGTTGTCATTATTTTACTGTCAAATAGTGAAGAGAATGTTAGCACTGGATTTCTGATCAGCTGTAGCATGGAAGGATTTTAATTGCCACTTAGCACAAATATACAACTGCCCAGCATACCACGTGATTACATAAACACTGTGGTTAAAGACTATTTGGCAAATGGTATTCACCCACTGTCTTCTAGCCCCTCAGCATTCATGAACTGCCATTATGCAGTATATTAAAGAACAAGATTAATTTAAAAATTGATAGGGGCTCATCTGGAATATTTTCGTTGCATTTAATGCTTGATACAATTTATGGCTACTTCTGACCTAGCATATCACTATGTGTGTATTATTTATCTTAATTTTGGCTGGAACATGCCCTATTCCTTAATATTTACTGTATTGCAGACAATATATATACAAAAATTAAAATCTATTGTGATGGCAGTTTGTGTATAGCTAAAATAGAACATAGTTTTTCCTGGAAAGAGAAAAACCCTTCTTTGATACATTACTTAATCACCAAGTCTCTAATTACTGTTGTTAATTTATGATCACAACTGATCTGAATCTCTCAATAACATGTCTGCCCTCCTAACTAAGGTTTAATTAAGGCTTCTACAAATTTAGTTGTGTGTGGTGGAGGAAAATCATTGCTAATTGGCTAAAACTTTATGTGCTTTGCAAAGTTCCCCATCTATCCATCATGTACTTGAATTTTATTTGTAATTTAAGCATCTGTGGTTTTCAGAAGGGCTGAGTGTCTCATGTCATATTAGCAAACCTAAGATATATCATCTAGCTGAGAAGGCTATGTATTAATAAATTGCTTAGAGAAATGGGAAATCTACAAAAATAAAATTGAGGTCTTTGTTTTTGACAGGAATTCAAGGAAAGTTGCAACTGAATTTTATTTTTTTTTAGATCCTTACTCAATTTTAGGTCTGCCATTTGTCTGATAAGATGCCTCAATAGGAAATTCTGTTAGTCAGAATTACTGCAACTCTGCTAAATTTGAGAAACATTCCACCAGAAGTTGTTGCTTTCTATAAATAACCTGTTTTTCAGCTCTAGTTTTACCAAACTATCACTTGTTCTGATATTGCTTTGTCAATAAGAGAAAAATAAATTTCTTTTAGACTATTTCTCAGCTGAGACATACATTATGGATAAAACTAAATCTACTCAAAATAAACATTAATTTGAAAGATTGCTTTGGCAATTCAGTCTTCCAGCTTCCATTATTTAGTCCATTATTGAGTTCTATCTCACTTCACCTTCATCAGAGAATTCCGTATGTCAATTCCGTATGTATGTCTGTTTTTTCTTTCTCCAGCAATTATCAAGTGAACAACATAAACAAAAAGCCATAAAATGTTTTCTATATCCATTTTGCTTATAATGTTTGTGAAAAGTGTTAGGCTAATGGCACTGGATGGAATCTGAAATTGCTCAGAAATTATTGTTATATATGTCTTTCGAATGTATGTGAAACTTCTAATGGCTCTCAGCATTGTGCCTGTCATATTTACACTGCATAACCATCATCATGAATGCATTTCATTGAAGCTCTAAAATAGCGATTGGGAAAGCAGTAACTGGCCAACCCTACTTTTGACTCAATGCTTGCTAAGATGACATAGTGGCAATGAGGGAGAAAGTTAGATGTTCTTACATAACCTTTCACTAACACCATGAGCTGACTGTTCCTTCAAACTACAGTACATTCAACGATATTAAAAACCTGTCAGTTTAAGACCAGAATTAAGAGTATCTCGTGTTGTCTCAAGCTGGCATTTTAGAAGCCAAGGCTGTCTTCACTGACATGTCTTCTGATAGGTAATGATCTTGTATAATGTCACAGACTGTGTTTGCTTACCCCTTACCTTCTATGCACCCACTTATTTCCTTGGTCTTTCAGGCCCAAATCCAGATGGGAAGGATGGAGTACCTGGAACTAGTAAAGATAATCTATGTTGTCCTGGTCCTGTATTGCCTTGTGAGCATCTGAGCCTTGCTAGAGAAATCCTCATTTAAGCTGATTCATTCCTCTTTGTTATTTCCATTAGGAAACTCTCAAAGTAGATGAGAGACTTTTTGGCTAATGGGATGGGATATAAATCTAATAACTAACTAAATAAATAAATATGATTAAAAAGAGATTGTTTATAATCAATATAATCATTTTCCAGATTTATTGATCCAGATCTGTACACTGCTTGTATATTCTCAAAGCCTTCAGATCACACATGGCAATCAAAGTCATCACTTTAAAAGAAGTGACTAACATCTGGCTAAGGAGTTGTTACCAAGTAACCTAAGGTATGCTTTTCTGTTCCTTTGGTATTTCTTATTTTTTTATCTTCTGTTGCATCTCTTTGATATAGGGCCCATATTTCTTGAATATTTTCTCCTCATGTGCCTTGTATTGCAGCTTCAGTGTTTTTTCCTAGAAACTAGAATCAGAACACTAGGAAATGAAGATGGTACCATTGGGAAGGGTTTGGTTTCATGAAGAATGTACCTCCTGTGAACTGGGAAGTATGCTTTTGGAATGACCTTCATGAACAAGGCAGCTAACTACTGGGATATTGGAGTAGCAAAGGCCCATTATGAGTCAAGTAAAAGGACAAAAGAAGCATTAAGACTGTTGAGGTTCTAGCCAAGATTTTGTAGGTACATCCAACAGAAAAACTAGGAATATGCAACAACCATGACCACTATTTATAAAGTAACACACAGAACATGGGGAACAAACAGGAACAATCTGAAAACCTAATATGTGATGGAAATTTGATAGGTATCATTGAGACTTGATGGGTTGAGACTCAAAATTAGAATATAGTAATTCCGGCAAAAAGGAAGGGAGAGTAACGTGTAAAAATGTAGATGGCTGTATGAAAATCCATCACTCTGCAAATGATGGATTTCAACTCTTTTGACACCTTTCAGATGATTAACTCTAGTTAGAATGGAACATATTTACCCCTACCCCTTTCCTTGCAAACTTAATCTCTCAGAAGGTGCAAGATGGAACAAGGGCATATACTGTCCTGAACTGAATCCATGATCAATAGGGAGGAACTGGCTGATGAACTGAAAGTGGCAGAAATCTTCAGAAAAGTGACAACTTGAAATCTGAGATAGCAAGGGCTGTCTATACTGGGGCTTAGTTTGATGTGTACCTTGGAATTTAGGAAAGCTGATTTTAAAAAGATGAGAAAAATAAGTTTGGAGCCATGGCCATAAATTCTGAAGGAAAAAAGAGTTGAAGAGGGCTGGGCTATTCAGAAAGCTGAAATACTGGAGGCACAGTTGCAAACTGTTCCCATGAGAAGGAAAAAAAGAGATATTTATGGAAACCAGTATGCCTCTGCAGGGATCTCTCTGATGAGCTCAGGCTCAAAAGGGACCTGTATACTATATGGAAAGGAAGGCATATAACCAAGGAAGAGTACAACAAACCTATTAGGATGGTGTCAGAATGACTGAGGACCACAGTGAGCTGAGAATTGCAAGAAATGCTAAAACCAACAAAAGGGACTTCTTTGACTGTTTGGAGCAAGAATTAAGATCACTGGAAGAGTGGATTTGCTGCTTCAGGAAGATGGTGGAGCCTTAAGAGGTGACAGATAAAAGGAGGAACTACTCAACCCCTATTTAGCTTCAATCTTTGAAGTTATGTTCAACCAGGGACAAAAAGAACAAATGTTAAGGAAATACTTGGAAACATAGGTAAGTAGATGGCTAGAGAATACCTAGCTACTTTAAATGAGTTTAAGCCTCTATGGCCAGATTAATTCCATCCTCAGGTGCTGAAATAACCAGTCTGAGCCACTGTTTGTAATCTTTAAGTATCTTTGGAGAACAGCTAAAGTGCCAGGAGACTGGAGATGGTCAAATGTTGTCTGCATTGTCATGAAAGGGAAAATATGCAGATCAGCTTGACATCAATACTGGGGAAGTCCCTAGAACAGATAAGCAGTTGGCTTATTATCTCCAACACTGGGAAGATAAATGGTCACCTGCATTAACTCAACAAGTGAACAAGTTAATGGAAGTGTATTTTGAAGCTAATATTTCAGTTTGCTCTTCATTTGGGCATGTCACCAAAGGCTACACAAGTAGCCTTCTAATCTTCCAAAGTCTAAAATTGGAATAGTCTTTAGCTGGAATTTTGTCAAACAAGTAAATAAGTAGGGTAACTTGAATCACTTAGGGAAAAATTGAATTCACAGGCAATAAATTAATCGTCCTTTCAGAATTCAGTGCATTTTGTATGTATGGAATACATTTATAGAAGCTTTTGTTTTGATTGATTTTGTGTATGCACACTATAAGTTTAAACTTGGTTTCTTCCTGGGTTTGTGCCATATTCACAAATAAAATCTAAGAAGCTCAACAATTCTTTTAGTGGAACATGTATAGAAGTGTGCTTAACCCTAGAATATTCAGCATTTTTACAGTGAATCACACTTAAATTAGCCATTATATGCTTTGTTGTTATTATTATTATTACCTGTAATGCACCATTTGAACAGGAAAAAGAGCAATGAGTATTATAGCACTTTAAAGGCATACATTTTCCAGAAGTAGACCCAATTCATGAAATGTATTAAGTATACTTAAATGGGCAGGTACCTTTGCACATAGCTGTTTCTGTGTGCAGGGCGGTAGAGCAGTGAGATCAGAATGAAATGAAATGCAAAAAGTGGACTGAATTATATTAAAGGCATGTGAAATCATTACAGTGACCAGTCACCAAACACTGTTGACATTCTTTCATTTGCAAGTGTAACCCCAATGAAATTTGGTATGGGTTACATAAGCAAATTAATACATGTACTGGGATACAAAGTTGTTATCTCAGTTCAGGCCACATGTGATATGACTGCATTTCTTGACAAATTATACAGAGGAGTTGCATGCAGGTGTCCTTTCTAAGTTCCTGACTGCTCTTTAGAAGGCCAGATACTGAAGATGAAACTCGAATACTTTGGCCACCTAATGAGAAGGAAGGACTCCCTGGAGAAGAGTCTAATGCTGGGAACAATAGATGGGAAAAGGAGGAGGGGCCGGCAGAGGATGAGGTGGCTAGATGGAGTCACTGAGGCAGTTGGTGTGAGCTTAGGTAGACTCTGGGAGATGGTGGAGGACAGGAAGGCCTGGAGGAGTGTTGTCCAAGGGGTCGCGATGGGTCGGACACAACTTCACGACTAACAACAACAACATTCAAGAATGTCTGTTTTAAAGTCATGAGCACAGCAATGTGTCTGAGGATGCTTAAAAGTTTTCTCACTGGCTTAATTTTGTCGTATGGGATTACGGATTGGGGTGCCGTTTGCCTACAGAGGGGGCTATTTGTCCTCTGCAGAATACAGAAGGTCACCGCTGCCAGGTGATCTGTAGGAAAATTCTACTAAAAGAGATGCATTGGTCTTTGAAAGTAATGCACGTGGCGTGGGTGTTTTGTTTCCATTAGCAAATGTACTCACTAAAGGCAACCGCGTTAAGAGGCTATTTTGCTCGACTGGGAAAGTCGCCAAGTTGCACCCCGAAGTTTCCTTTTCCTAGCGGCGCCTGGGAATCTAAACTGTCCAACATCCCCCTTTGCCAGCAGAGTAGCTACTCCGCCTTTCTCGCATGCTTGATGCCGTTTCGCCCTCCCTCTCTCCTGAGTAATGAGGCTGTCCTAGCACGAGATGAGGAAAGGGAGAGGGGGGAGGAGGAGGAGGCGGCGGCACAGCGCCGGTTTCCGCTGCTTGGAGCCCCCTTTCTTCCTCAGCTCCCCACTCAGACTCTCGCCTGGGCACGTTCTGCTTTCGTCTTCGGCCGGCAGCACGAGCTGCGGGAAGAGGGAAGGAAGGCGGGAGCCTCTCTCTTTGGCAGCCGAAAGCAGATCTGCTCCTTCGAGCGGCTGTCTGGGTGTTCCTTTGCTGGGGACGTCCAAAGCTTCCCTTCTCCTTTTCCTTTCGCCGCTGGCTTTTAGCCGCTAGCAAAGGGCGGACGGTGCCTGCTACCTGCCGAAGCGGGAGAAGCGAGGCAGGTTCAAGACCTCCAAGGATGTCCAGCAAGGGCAAGAGGAGCAAGGAGCAGGGGAGAGTGACCTTCTCCCAGGAAGAGGAGGACGAGGACGAGGGGACCGCTGAAGAAGAGCAGCAGCGACCGCGCCGGAGCTGGCGGGGAGTGAACGGGGGGCTGGAGCCGCCCCAGCGTGACCAGGCGGTGAGAACCCAGCGGGAAATGTACGGCTACTACCCGCCCTCGCCGATGCTGGGGAGCATGTAAGTCGCCTGAAGGGGCCTGCCCGCTGGGGCTGGCTCAGCTCGGCTGCGCGGTGGCTGCTGGCGCCTCTCTTTGGGCGGGAAGGAAGTCGTGGCTGCGGCTCCTCTGCAGGTGGGTTGGAGCTCCAAAAGTTGTGGGCTTCCCCCTCCCTGCTGCTCGGAGGGAGGCCGCCGAAGGCCATCGAGGGAGCCACAGTGGGAAAGACACAATGGAAGGGCGAATTTAAAATGCCAAAGGAAGAGATCATAATAGCACTATTTGGAGAAACTAGGAAAGAGAATGATTTTACTGACACGTATGAGAGACAAAAAATGGTTAGCAAGTGAATGTATGCATGTGGTCGGATATTCATCCTATCGGTGTTATTCCCCCGCTTTTTTTCCCCGTAAGTGCTTTTTGCGGCTTTCTGCTCTCTCGAGTCAGTTGGAATTTGGCTGTTGACTTGAAATATATTTGACGGGTTCTTTTATTGCACTAACAGTTGGACCGGGTGTGTCAGCACCAGCAGCAGACCTCCATTCCGGTTTTTAGTCCTCATGTTGCTTAATGAAATTAAACTTGATTGCACTTCTGTGGGTGTGCGGAAATTTTTCCTTCCAAAATTTCTGACTCCCAAGTTTAAAACATGCTCAACGCATTTGCACAATTAAACCTTTATGTTCAGTTTTCTGCAGCTTGTGTGTGTGTGTAGAGCCCTGAAACAGCTGGCTTTAGTTCCTCTTAAAAAAATTAGCCATATATTCATTACAGTAGAAGAAAAAAAATGCTGCTGATAAAGAGGTGAGACACTTGCCGGTAAAAAGGAGAGTACGGGACTTAAGATGCCATCCTAAGCATATTGAGACAGAATCCCCCCTCCACCATAACTCTCAACATTTCCCAATCAGCTTGGGAGGAATTAATAGTTTTAGGCCTTGTAGTTGTAAGATGTCGATCTGTTTAAAGATGCATTGGATTATGATGCCCTTAAGGTGCAATCCTATGTAAGTTTAGACAGGAAAAAGTTGTAAACTGACTAATGAAGCACCAAATGGATAAAAGGATATACATTTGTGAAATAATTTTTTATGAATTGATTCTGGTAAAATTAAAAAGAGTACTTGTTTCACATGATGGTTGAATTGGCACTATGTCCCCTCTACACCCACTGACTGTGCTAGTTGGTTTGGTTTAAATGCAGAGAAGCACATCAGGTATCCACAGTCCAACTAATTGTGGCTAACTAATATTCTCATTTAGAAGTTGCAAAAGTGTATTTGTAAATACTGCTGGAACGGCCAAAGTTACTTTATTAAGGAACAACAAGAAAGACAACTGGAAATGGCTCAATTTCCACTAAACAGAATGCATGAAACAAGAACCAAGAATTACACATCATAGAACATGGTACATTTTAGATCACTTTTTGGGTCATTTCCTGTAGCTTTTAGTACACAGTGCAAAATGATAGTCTAGTTGTGCACTTCTAAACTGCTTCCAAATGGATGATTCCTACTGCTACCAATCCAAAGGCGTTATGCAGCTATTCCTTCTTTCCCTCCTTAACAGACTTTATGTGGTAAGAAAAAAAAAAAAAAAAGATAAGAAAGCGGTAGGATAACATGGGAGGGGAGCAAATGGAAAACTGAACTACCCATAAAATTCATGGACAGAGGCAGGGTAATTGCACAATAAATGTTCAGCCTGGAAGCACTGATAGAATATGGGAGTCAAGAACTGGAAAAGTGCAGGCTGTGGCCAGCAGAATTGCACAAGTAGAAAACCCACCTGAATCCTAATGGGAACTTTCCTGATCATTCTTGGTGTGATGAAAAACGGCATTTGATTGTACATGGCCTTCAAAATGGCCTTTGAGTTAATATGAAACTGAAAAATATTGAGGTCAGAGATGGTTGAGATGCGGTAAATGCAGATACCAGGCTTAATTTGAGCCAAATTTACTGGGGGCTGGGGCATGTAAAGTAACACTTGACAATTCTTCAATTATTGAAAAATGATGTGATGCCTTTTATGACACCAATGAGTAAAGTGACCACATCTAGAGTAAGTGGCTTCTGTGGATGAGTCATTTTCAGAAATTAATTACTGGTAGACACATACTTTATTGGGATATTAGTCCCCATTTAGTACAATTTTGTTCATGTCTAACCAATTCAATGGGATTTCTTTTTAAGTATGTATGTACAGGGACTGCAGTCAGAGATTGTGGTACCTTCTTTCTCTTTTCTGTTTGTCTTGATTCCCCAGCGAAAGACAAGGGAAGATTTAAAAATGGTCCTTTTAAAAATAAATCATTTCCTGGAAATCCAGTACAACCTGCCTGCCACCCCAATGGAATATAGGGAGATGATTCTTCAGCACCCCCTTGTGTTTGTCCTTCATGGTCTCACAAAGCACTTTCTTCAAATCAGCCTTTGAGCTACTTTCCTGCCTATTTTTAAATAACATTTTCAGAGGTAGGTCATAGAATTGGGAGCATCTTGGACCATTTCTCTTGGGTGACAGAAACCTAGCAGTTGGTGACCTGTTTAGAAAACCTAAAATAAATTTCTTTTGATTTTAATCATCCTAAGGAGAGTCTTTATTCATACATGCATTAGTTAAATGTAAAATCATCAGTAAAAGGAACATTTAAAATGCCTAAGTGAGATTATCTTTCTTTTCATCCAGGTTTGATATACTTTATGGAAATGTGAAACAGCAATGCAGTCTAGCATGTTTTAATATCCTGCTGAATGCGTTTAATTGACATTGAAAGAGTGGATTTAATAGAAACAGATGAGTCAGGGGTGTTTTTCTCAGACCATTAGAATAGCTGCTGAGAAGCTCTAGTTCCTGTGTCAGTGTCAGGTCCTGGGAGTCAGTGCATTCATTTTGCTCAGCTGCCAGGGAAAAAAACCCATTTCTTGTAAACTTTCTTTGTATTTTCACATGAATAAACATATTTATCAAAGTCAAGAATGCCATTTTGGCAAAGAACAAGAAATGAGGGACATCTAAAGGTAGATTCTAATTTGAAAGATTTAACTATTGTAAACAGAACCAGGATTTTTAAAGGCGGTAGTTTGTACTGGTAGTATCAAACAGCAATAGGTAGAAGGGTTACTAAATATTTATATACTTGGACTTGTATGTTGTTCAAAGTATCCTCACAGAATTCATAATCCAGAGCCATCTGTATATGATTGGTTAGTGGGTCGTTTCTCCAAATTATGATAGCAGCACTTCACACAGCAATTGAGTTCATTGTTAATTTTAAAAAGTAAATTTTCATTGTAGATGTCAACAAAACAATATAAGAAAGAAACAAGTGTAGCTACATATATTTGGATATATCAGTTTTAGTTAATGCATGTGTATACTGCCCCTTCACATTTTGGAAAAGTTATTATATGCACAAACTATTGCATTATAGAAGGAAAGCATTTATTCTTCCAATGTTGTGATATCAGTCTTTTAGTTTTTCGTATCATACCACAGTAATTTCCCTCTCCATGCCCATATACCTCATATATGAGGGGTAAGGGAAGGATATTCCTTCTGCTATGAGAAATATATATGGTACATATTCCCTTTCCTCTGCTTGAAGTTAAAAGTGAACTGGATATTTTTGTTCAGTTACACTAATTTAAACTTATTCACTTTCAGGTTTCATTTTCCCTCCTCCTCCCCATTTTCATTTATTTCTTTAAAATATATTTCAAATGCCATGAAATACCTGTTGTCAGGGGTGATAGAGGAGAATCACAGGTGTGAGGGATAGGTAAGGGAAGATTATCTCACACTTGCAGCGCATTACCAGCTCACTGCTATTAAATATGAGAGGAGCAGCCTACCAACCTCATTTGATGGCCTACTAGAATCAACACCAGAATAAGCTGTGAAACCTTTCCCTGGTTTCCCATGTTATTCTAATATTTTTGTGGGGGAGGGGTTTGCAGCTGTAAGTTATGATGCAATAACTATCTGAAAATTTTGAATTATATTTTCCCCCTCCTCATTCCAACCTTTGTTCATGCCTGTTTCTTTTCCCATAATTACTTCTTCTCAAACAACTTGACACCCACTCCAACCACTTCCTGTGCTATGCCATCTCATACCCAGTGGAGATAAAGATTATGATTATGTAGATGCCTGTATGCCAGGAATACATTCATACACATTTTTCTGTTTGACACAATGATACATTTCTTTTCATTGAGCTTGCACAGCAATAAAGTGTTCTAGACAGGAGAAAATTTTACTTCAGAGAATACAAATATAATAAAATGAATGGTCTAGAATTAGTTTCTTTATCAGGTACCTTACCCTGCTCTCACATTTCAGTATTTCTGTTTTCAGGGATAAACCAAACATTTTACTATACAGTTTAAGTTTTAACATTATAATGAAAGCACAATCTACCTCACATGGTTGTTGTGAAGATAACGTTGAGAGGGGAAGAGAATTACGTAAGCCACCCTGAGTTTCTTGAAAGCAAAAAAGGTGAGATATAAATAAATTAATATAATACAGTTGAGTTGGCACAGCCTTGAGGTAAGCTGCCTGTCTGGTGCTTTGAAAACCCTCTCTGTGGTGAAGTTTTCCTGGTGGTGCTTTCCCACTTCCTTTTAGGGGAGCATCTGATCAGGAGCCTGTACCAGGGAAAAATTTGGGGGCAATCTCCTCTAATGCCTTCATCAAGCTGTTCTGCTTCTTGGGAGGGATACTTCTAGCCCCAGCACTGACACAGAATTTATATCCCCAACTTCCTATTTCAATCCTTCAATCCCTCTTCCATTGTCTACACTGAGATTCCAGAAGATTCAGGATTCTCTTGATTTTGGTCTAGTAATGACTCATCCCCAACTGAGATGGACTGTAGAAGATTCCTCATTATCTAGGCACTTGGGCAGTTTATAATTCAATAGGTTTGTTAAGTGACCTTGAGATTACTTTAGCAAGGGCATCTGCATTGGAGGGCCAGCATCCAGATAAGCTGGCCTTTTAGCTTTAGCAT